CACTGCTGTTCTTCTCTAGCCAAGTTCAATGAGTTGAATTTTCCAGTCTGAGGGTCGTGAGACTTGCAGGAATATAACCAGGTCTCCTTGACTCTTGGAACTTTTGCTCTTATCCAGTGTCTTCTAGGTCTTAAAATGCCAATGGAATAACATGGCTTTTTTCTAAAGGTCTTGTAAGAAGATGGAAGGAAAAGAAATATATCATAAAACACCAAAAAATAACTTAAAGATGACCTTTAAATATTCCAGTCCCTTCTTTAATAATTTTCTTTACTACAACAGCTGACAGAGCTCTCTGGTTTCCTTCTGTCTTTCCCCTACCTCCCACCATAGAGATTGGTTCAAACTCCTGCCATGCACTCCCTCTCCACACCCCACTCAGGAAGACCAAAGCTAGTCCAGGAAAACAAAAGCCAACACTGACTCTTATCCTTCCAGCAGGTACCTGGGAATGCCTGTCCGTCCCTCTCAACTACAACTGCAGACTTGAGACACCTGAGTTGGCTTTAACTCAAAGATGTTGTTTCAAAGCAGATGAATCTTAAAAGGAGAAAAGGAGGCCACTTAAAGCCAGGAATGAGGGAAGAGGGAAATCTGAGTTAGATTGGATTAGAAATAAAGAAAATTTAAAACCCATTAATGGGTTCTCAATGTAGTGTTTCAAGGGGGGAAAGGAGGCTTGCAAAAATTAATCACCTATTCTGTGCCAGTCACAAGGGTGTGTTTGTTGACATGAGGTTACAATGAGAGGGCAGAAGGAAAGCCCACATATTGTACACTAAATAAATGGAGGTCTTCACTGTTATCCTTGCTCAAGTCATGAAGCCATATATGCTCAGAAGGGGTAAACAAAAAGCTCAGGGTCTCTTAGAATTATAACTCAGATCCAATTCTATGGCACCATTTGAATCTTGTTAATATCATAGAGTGAGTGAGACTCCATGGACCACTGGCAGAGTCCCCTGTCTCCATTTGTCAGCCCCTTCCCATGCCTCTTTTCCAGTAATAATTGATGATACAATTCTTATGACATGATGGTCTTCAGCCTCCATTCAGTGTCCAAGTTAAAAACTAGAATCTGGAGTTGAAGGTGAGATGCTCAAGGATCCCTCAGCTTTCTTTACTTGCACAACATATTGAAGCTAATAAGCCAAGAAATTAGTTTGTCTTCAAGGTTGTTTGCTCCAGGACCATCTGTACCCCAGCAGTATCTCTCTACATTCAACATACATTGCTTTAGAAGGGGAAAAAGTCAGAAGGGAAGTCGGGAAATCTGAGTTAGATTGGATTAGAAATAAAGAAAATTTAAAACCCATTAACAGGTGCTTCATATTCTGGACTCCTTCTTTATTGCATAGTCTCAGTGTTTTCATTCATGGTGGACACATAGACAGAATTACACTGGTCAGGACCTAGAAACAGCAAAGAGAGAAAAGTCATGAAATCCCTAGTTTAAAAAAGTCACATGGCAGGGAAACCAGGAGAAACCTGAGGAAGCATGAGATTTCCAACTCTTTTCTAGTTGGATTGGTCAAGATAGGATAGGCTTTGCTGAACAAGTTGATGCTCAAATCTCAGTAGCTTAATACCACAAAGATTTATCTGTTGCTGTGCCATCTAGAATATATGTGGCCACCACAGGTGAAGAGAAACCCTGAAAGTGGTAACTTTGGTCTTCACCACACTTGGAAATGACTCACATCACTTCCACTACAGTTGTCTTGATAAAAAGTGGTCACATGACACACCTCAAATGAAAGATGACTAGGTCTCTGCCATATGCTACTGGTAAACACCAGTGACACTGTAAACACCAGTCAATGCTAGTACAATATATATAATATCATTTTATATTTCTACTTCCCCTTGTGTTTTGCTGAGACCCAGAATCCTCCTCTTCTTCTTCTTCACCCCCTTGTAAAATCTCTCCCCATTCCAACTTTCCATCTGCCCATCTGTCCCCACCCCTGTTAGCTGACCATTACTGCTAAGCAGAACTTGGGTTGTGGCCCTGGAGGTTACAATCTCCTCTGGGTTTGCCAACCAGGCTAAGATTTTAACTGTTTTCCATTTAATCCTTAAAAATCATTTCATGATATACCTATTATTAACCCCACCTTATAAGTAGAGAAGCTCAAACATAAATGTAGATCATTTTCTAAGTGATATAGCTAATGAGTGAAAAATACTGAATCAGAGTTTCATATATTCAATTCGTTTTTAATAAGCATTTATTGAGCGCAACTTGATCTTGACATATGGTCCCTCATTCCTTAGAGATTAGGAACTTAATATTTGGATTTGGACAGTCTTAGAGTCTAGGCAGGAAAAGGTGCTGAAGTGCACCATGTCTCAGTTTCACCATCTATAAACCAATGACAATAACACCATTTATTCTGCAGTGTTAATGCAAGAACTTAATGAGCTAATGCATGCAAAGTGCTTAGTGCAATGCCTGGCTTGTAATAAGCACTCAACAGGTAGCAGCCAGTGGGAGAGCCATCCAATATATATCAATCCAGTGTGATTAAGGCTATGATGAAGGTAAATTCAGGATGCTATTGAAGCAGGGAGAAGGGACGTGTAAATCAACTTAGTGCATGCTTTCTCGAAGTGTGTGGATGCTAAGGCAAGCTTTGAAAGAATGAAAATCATCCATATTGGATAAGATTGAAGAATAAGAGAGGAAGGTCTTCCAAGCCTGGGATGTGAATATCTGGAAACAAGCGAGTATGGACCTGAACTGGAATGGGATGAGGCAAAGACAGGATGGCTAGTCTCCCAGATAATGGTTGGAGCAGTCAGAGGAGTAACTGTAGTGGTGTGAACTGCCAGGCCACCAGGGCAGCCCTGTAGTGCACACGTGAACCTTGTCCCAAGATGGTGGGAGTCTTGGTGCTGCTTAAGCAGACTGGACATTTTTTCAGAAAGGACACTTAAATTGCAGTTCAGAAAATGGGCTGAGGCAGAGACAAGGTTGCAGAAAGAGAGGACAGTAAGTCAAAATATTTGAGCCCTTCTTCTCTCAAGCCTTTGATTTCTTTTTCTGACATGTGAGGCCAACAGTCCTTGTCTTGCCTGCCTCAAAAAATTGAGGACAGAAAAACATGAATAAAAATAGCCACTTAGAGCAGGGGTTAGCAAGCCTTCTGTAAAAGACCGGATAGTAAATATTTTCAACTCTGCAGGCCTGATGGTCTTTGTCATACCTATCAACTTTGTCACGAAAACACAAAAGCAATCATAGATAATGCCTATGAGTACAGATGTGTCACCATAAAACTTAGTTTATGAATACTGAAATTTGAATTTCACATAATTTTCATGTGTCACAAAGTATTACTCTTATTTTTCCCCAACCATTGAAAAATGTAAAACATGTTCTTAGCTCCTGTCCGCACAAGAAACAGAAGGGGCTGGATGTGGCTCACGAGCCCTAGTATAATGACCCCTGACATAGAAGGTGTTTGGAAAGGGCAAAGCTCCCTATAAATTTAAGGGAGGAGTGTTATGACTACTGTTTACCAGTGGTAAAATTTTATAGTATCATAAAGGCTGTCGATCAAACTCGCCATTTGTGTTAGTTTTGAAATGATATATTTCCACTCATCACTTGATCTAGGATGCCCCATCTCTTTCTGCATTTTGCATAAGCACCTTCTGCAGTTTTGTTGCAGGAAAGAAACTTCTAGTTTCTGACCAAGTACAAGACACTTCCCACACTTCCGAATCACTTTCATTAGAGGCCAGGGGTAGGTTTAGAAGGGCAAGAACATCCAAACCAGGCAAACCCAGGTTTGATTACAGCCTTTGGCAGTTACTAGTTTTGTGACCTTGAATATGTTATGTAAATGATCTGATTCACCATGTATTCATTCATTCATTCATTTATCCAACAAATATTCATGGAGTACCTACTACGTGCCAGGTATAATGCAAAACACAGTGGAGATTACAGAATTAAGGAGAAGGCATATACTTATGAAATAGTGAGGTCACTGTAATGAGAAAGGAGCATTTGGGTGTTGTGGAAGATGGAGGGACATCTCTCCTAAATCTGTGAGACACTAAAAACTCCCTAGGAAGGAGTTACAAACCAACACCTGAAGGATGAGCCATGTCAGCCAGGTTGGAGAAGCAGGAGGGAGTGTTTTTCATGCAAACTGGCTGCCTAGGAATGGCCTACAGACAAGAAGGTAGGGGACTGTTGATGGTGGCAAGTTGTTCATTTTGCTTGGGGCAGAGCAGAGAGTAGGGGGAGATGAGTCAGGAAGGCCAGGCAGGGATCTCATCTCTGAGGAACCTGAGAGCTGGGTTCAGGTGTTTGAAGTTTACCCTGAGGACAGTGGGGGCCCTGATGTATTTCAACCAAGAGATGAAGAAGAGGTAGAAGGAGAACAAGACTGGAGGCCAGAAGACCAGATAAGAAGCTGGTGCAAGTGAACCACAATCCAAGCAGAACACAAGGGTGGCCTGGACCAAGTGGGAATGAAACTCAGGAGAAGGGGGCACCTTCGAGAGCCTTTCTGGAGTAGAGTTAATACCTGGTGATTGATCACAAGCAGGAGGTAGGAAGGAAGGAAAGGGAAGGGCAACGCCCAGGTCTGTAGACAAAATCTCTGTGGGTGGTGGCACCATTGGTGAAGAAAGGGAAGACTGGGAGAGACGAAATTTGACGGGAAAACAGACATGTTTATTTATAACACTTCTGACCTTTCTGGGTTGTCCTAACTCTCAGAAACATTGGGCATGAGACACCACGAAGGGCACCTGGCATGTCACAGGTGCTTGATAAATGGTGACCCTTTCGCTGGCTTCATTTTTTAAAATCTACTTCGAGCCCTTGTTTTGTTAGATCATGATGTTCTTTTGCTGTGCAGGGTGAGCTCTTCAGAGCCACGGGTTTGCAGTTCTGTTCACCGTACCTCACGTGTTCATGTGTGTTTCTTTCTCTCCTTCTCTTCTGCATGCTGCCTGGGGATTGGCTTCCTTGTGGTCAGCACCAATGGGCAGCGCCCAGGTGACCCCGGGGACTCCACTCTGCCTCCTCACCACAGGTGATCACCAGAGGTGGGCGGGTGGGAGGGGATTGGGAGTGGCCCAAATTCAGTGGGTCCTCCAGGCCAGGTGCACCAGAGAGGAACTGGCAGTCCCTTCATCCCACCTTCCCATCCACCCACCCATCCACCCATTCATCAATCCAATCACACACCCATCCACCCACCCACCCACTCATGCATCCCTCTATCCATTCTACTAATGCTTAGTGAGCACCTACTATGTGCCAGGCATTGTTCAAGTACTGAGGGGTATAGCAGTGAGCAAAGGAAGAGGTTTCAGTGCCTCTCTAGGAGGGGAAACAGGCATTGGGCCAAAAAACTCCACAAATAAATGTGCAACTGTGAGTAATACTATGGGGCAGAGAGCCCAGTGCTCAAGACCAACACACCTGGAGCTCAGGGAGGGCTTCCCAGGAGAAATGACAGTGGGGCTGTGCTCTGCTGCTGTGAATGAACTGACCTAACAAGTCCATGGTTAGGAAATTAGTCTCAGATTACCACTGGTCCTGATGCTGCTCCTTCATGTGATCAGCCCTACTGTTCCTACCTGTTAAGTAGGAGTAATGCTGCCTACCTCTTAGGGGACACTGTTTGCATGGTAAACTCTACACGGATACAGTCTTCTGAAGTTGCATTCTAAGACTACACAAGATCATAAATGGCAAAGGAGCTGGAAGAGGAGCTCCCAGACTAGGGTAGGGTATTTTTTCAAATGTAAATACCACCTCCTTTCTTCATTTACTGAAATACACGTCTCTCGCTCACATCACGCGTGGGTGAGGGAAAGGGTTCCCCTTGGAGGGATGGGCTGGCTGTGAAATAAAAGCTATGAAAGTAGTACCACAAAATAGACACTTAAGACCTGAAATACATTTTATGGGGAGGGTGGGCAGTGACGAGATAAGATGACCAGGTGGCTAACAAAGAGGGAACCCTTGCTGGCTCTATTTATAGCAGTGCAATCAAAGGGGATTGGTAGGTAAAAAGTTTCAGGGTGGGAGGAGTCTTGCCCAGGTGCTTGCTTCTTCACAAAGAACAGGATAGGGGTGGGAGTCAGCAGGATATTTGGTTCTTAAGGGATCATGCCCATCTCCAAGTGCTAGAACTTGGCCAGTGAGCTAAGCCAGACACCACATGAACCAGACATTCCTCAAACCAACGGGTTCCTACTGGGAGTTCCTGATACCAGGCTTTCCTGCCTAATGGCTTCAACGTCGCTTTAATTCACGCACTGTTCAGATGTCCACTGTTCACTGTTCCCGCACATGCCATCCTGAAAAGGATGCAGAACCCATCTATAGCATGGACCATGGCATCCGTGATGCCCACTGCAATACCTTGGAGAGGAATGACAGTCTGCTGAGGTATCTCTTTAAGTGGAAGTTTCCTGGCATTCTTAAACCATTAACCGTTGCCTCTCTCCAAGTGCCTTGCTCAGAGAATGGCCTCCTCTCTATTAACCTGACTGGTCAGTTTATCACAGTGGGAAAGAGGATGCAGTGGGCAGTGAGAACATGAGTTGGGCCATCCAGTACCTTCACAGTTCACAGCACCTTTCCCAAACCCAAACCCATCAGTTGGTGCATATCTTGGACTGGGTTCCCTGGATGTTGACCTGCACTGGGGATTCTTGTCAAGATTATTCAAGGAGGAGTATTCTCAGAAGAAAGAAAAGGCAGAAGATGAAACAGGGCAGGGGACAAAGCTAAGGGAGGATGCATCAATCTGAGCCCACAGGGGTTTCTGAGGTGTGATTTGTTTTGCAGAGTTGGTCCCACTTTGAGGCACGAGGGCGGCACCTATACCATGACACCAGTCAGCCATTGATGGTTGGTACCATGGAGGTGCATGACCTCCAGGAGACTTGGCTCCCCTCTCTGCCTGCAGGACTTCTCCAGGGCAGGAGGCTCCCACAGCAGCTGGAGAGTGAATACCCCAGGCGGTAAAGGCAGAGCCCCAAAAGCACCCACTGTGGTTCAGTGTCATCGATGCTGGGAACCACCATAGCCCAATGTGACACTGCCAATGCCTCGGGAATTTCATCTCAACCACTCCCTGGGTCTACAACCTTGAGCAAGTTACATCGCTTTATTTCACCTGGAAGCTAATTATCCCACTTCAGAGAACCACATTAAAGATTAAATTTGATAACCCTAGAGAGGGCCCTATAATAGTAGCAGCACATATCAGGTCTTCAAATGGCCGTCCCCAGCCTCACCCTTCCCCCAAGGGAGGCAGGAACTGCAGATGATAGATAATGAGAGAGAAGTCTCTCTCGTCACTGTTCCCACACCTAATTGATGGAGGAACAAGGCTTCTCGGGAGTGTGTGTCAGCAGCTCAGTATCTGCCGGGCCATTGTTCTCTGGGTTCTATTCAACCTGAGCAGCCAGATAATGTTTTCTTTAAACAGAGCCAATCCTATATCGGGCACATTTGTTCTTACCTCTTGCCTTCCCAGACGTCTGAATGTTCCTCCTCTGACAGGTTTATTTCATTGCGTTCCATTTATTTCCACCTGTTTCTCAGCTTCGTTTGATGGGTGAGGTGCCTGCGAGTCTTTCTCTTTGAGCAGGCTGTCCCTAGCAGAGGGCGTTTTTGTTAATGTCCGTCCCCTGGTAGCAATAATGGCTGATGTAAATAATAACTGTCCAGGTCTGAGTGATGGGGATATTAGACTGTAAGCATGGGCAGCTCTTTTCCCAGCCATTGCCGCCTGGAATCCCACACAGCCACAGGATGTCGCAGGGGCGGGCTGGCTTTCCGTGGGTGAGTTGAAGCTGAGTTGGGCCTTCAGGTGGCCGCCTCCTGGTCTGGTGATTCTGGTTATTTCTCTTCTCTGGTCAATAGTCTCTTCACCTGGAGGAGGAAGAATAGTAATAATGCCCACAGCCAAGGTTAATCATGAGAACTAAGCGTGATTACAGTGTAATCTTTAGTCTTGGTCAAACTAACTCCAGCTAGTTCTTCAGGTCACCCTGAACTAGTGGCCTTTCCTTCAAGGGATTCAGGCTTCAGAGCAAGGTTTCTCAGCCTCAGCCCTGTTGACATCTGGGGCTGGATAATTCTTTACCATGGCAGGCCTCCCTGTGCACTGTAGGATGTATAGCAGCATCTCTGGCCTCTACCCACTGGATGTCAAATACCATATCAACCCCAATTGTTACAACTGAATATATCCACTTTTATTCTCAACTGTCCCCTGGGGACTAAAATCACTCCCTGCTGAAACCTTTCATAGTGGCTCTGTTCAGTAGAAATAGAAATTGCCCTGTGTATGCAATTTTTAACTTTCAAAGTCACATTTAAAAAGCAAAAACAAAAAGATGAAATTTGTTATTATTATTATTATTATTATTATTATACCAGGGATTGAACTCAGGGGCATTTAACCACTGAGTCACATCCCCAGCCCATTTTATATTTTATTTTGAGAAAGGGTCTCACCAACTTGCTTTGGGTCTCGCTAAATTGCTGAAGCTGACTTTGAATTTGCGATCCTCCTGCCTCAGCCTCCCAAGCACTACGATTACAGGTGTGCACCACTGTGCCCAACTGAAATTAATTTTAAGACCATAATTCATTTAACTTGATATATCCAGAATATTATCATGTTAATAAGTAACCAATGTGTAAAAGCTATCAATGAAATATGTTTTACATTCCTTTTTGTACTTTTTTGAAATCTTATCTGAATCTAAATTTAGAGTATGTCTCAAGTTAGATGCTGAGTTTTAATGGTTAAAATGAACTATGTTCCTAAAAGAGAGAAAATGGTATGTCATGAGTAAACATACTTTTCATTGCTTCAGTTTTTAAATTTACATTAATTGAAATAAGATTTAAAATCCAGCTCCAACCACTTGGTGTTGGATGTACAAACCTAGAGGTGGGATTTGTCTTCATTCTCTGGGTCCCTAGCTCATGAGCAGAACAGTGTATGTATGCACAGAACCACGGCGCTGCCGGTGTTCAGTGCCCTTTGTTCCATTTTGTCCCCCAGGAGACATTTTTCAGTGTCTGGAGATGGGTTTGGGGGTCACAAGTGGGTGTGGGGAAAGCAGGCATCTATAGAATAGAGGTCAGGGATGCTTCTGTCACAGAAATAAGGCACAAGCCCCGTCTAGGCAGAGATGGACATTTTTCTATGGTGGACTCACTTGTGGCCGAAGTGGACGAGTGACTAGTTAGTTGTTATTTCGCCTGAGACAATGGACTCTGTCAGGGGCCTACCGTTGCAGGAAGAATGCCTCTTCTCAGATCTCTCCTGTAGCTCAGTCAAGCCTCTATCTCTGGACACGATAGGAGACAGGCAGTGTCCAATCTGAAGGCCAGAGTGGATGCACTCTGAGTCTTTTCCAGGGGTGCATCCGGACTCACTATCTTGTTCATGTCCAGGGCCCACAAGGAGGGCTTTGGGAGAAGCCATCACCTGGAGCCCACCTCTGTTCCTTAAAAGGGAGACTTTGAGTAAATCACTTGGCCTTTCTAAGTCTCAGCTTCCTCATCTATGACATATTAAAGATGAGTCCTAGCTCGGCTCTGCCCCATCATAGCAACAGCAATGGAAGAAAGAGGTGCCGTCCTTGCACAGCTCTAGGTTTAAGAAGGTGCAAGGCCAGCTCCCCTTATTGTTCCTTTCTTCCTTGGGCATCTCATGTCAAAATTCATAGCGTTATTTTTTTTTCTGTCAATCATTTAAGTGGAGGTCTTGCTCAAGGGACAAGATTCAAGCCATAATATACTCCCTGAAAGTGTTATGCAAATGCCCTAAAGATGACCTTCCCAATGTTGATAATCCTAGACCCGAGCCCACAGGAAAGGTCTGCGTGGGTGCAGAGAAGATGGAGAAACAGCACAGCAGCCTCCCCAGGTTCTCTCGCGGGGCCCTGCAGGCTTGGACAGCCTGGGGCTGCCATGACCCTCCCAGGGAACTCATGCGTCTAGTGGGAGTTAATGGATGGTGGGAGATCAGGAGCTGGAGGGAGTACAACCAGG